TAGTCATTTACAATATAACAAATAAAATAAAAAATATATACTATAAGTAGTTAACATGAATATCGAATCGAACCATATAATTAGAATATATCATATAATTACAGATATTTATTTTATTTACAAAACAACAAACATAGCAAACACGTACAGGATCTCAAAATTTTGACCGCTGCAGGCATTGCTGGCTTGAGATGCGGAGATGGAAGCAAGTCTCTCTGCTTCACGGAAATAAGACTGCATTCTGGCGTTTTTTGTCACAATTAACAACCTCACAACAAACAAATTTTCCTTTTTTTGACAGTTTGTCATGCAAAACCAATCACCTCTTCTTTGGTTGATTCTTTTTCTTCCAGTCTCTTTGTTTCTGGAAGTCCTCTTTGGAAAGGATTGCTGGCGGCATCTTGGCTTTTGCATGAAAACCTGACGGAAAAACGAATCCTTTGTTGATGTTTGGATTTTCAAACCTGACAGCTAACGCCTGGCTGCATTCAAATTTCTGTGTATCATCTCTGCAAATTGTTCCTGCAATGCCAATGGAAGTCAAAATTTTGTCGTTATCAAACATCTTCTTGTGTGCAAACAACCTGCTTGTTGGCTCCTTCGTTTCCTGTTTCTCAGATCCAAAAAATGTCATCGGGCTATCCGGCCATTTGTAATTTTTGAAATCCGAGGCAGGCGGTGCTTGGATGTACGGATAGTACCAGTCGGAACAGGGGCAGCCCTGGTAGTAGTAACGCAGAACCCAAGTCAACCCCATAACATATTTATGGACACGGTCGTTTTTGGGTTCTACGATATTACCACGCACATCTGCAATGGTCATCTTTCGGTTTTTGAAGATGTTGCTCTCCTTTTCAGCCAAACATCTGAACAGTAGATCCAGGTTCCTGTAGTTGATGAACCCATTGTTGTTGAGATGGCACCCTGTTCGTTCCAGTACTTTCTTGTACATTCCAATCATCCTGCTGATTGCCCCCTCCCAGATGTCCACGGACGGCAATCCTGGAAGGAAATCGTTGCCCAGCAAGGTTGTCAGCAGCACCCAGTCATCGATGCTCTTTTCCAGATCCTGTTTCAACAAATTAAACGATTTCAAATCATTAAACAAATATTCTCTCAAAATATTAATTTGAACTAAAACAAATTTACCATCCAAATCAGCAAAACTTCTTTCGTCATCCTTCAACTGCTTAAGAATGGTGAACATGGGCTCGTGTGTTGTGAGGCCCAGTATGATGGCATCAGCGTCCGCGCTGAACATACAATGTTTCATGTTCGCGTTGTATTGTGGTTGAACGCGCTGTCTCCCGATAAACTCCACGATCTTGTGCTCACCCTCACCTGGCACCTCTGCGTCTGATAGGATGACAGCCAATCCCTTCCAGCTCGGGTTGCTACTTACACGCGAGTCGATGTAACGACACAGCTCTTTCGACAATCCTGTCATGAAAAACATGTAGCTGGTGTGGTTATTGCTCTCTCGTGCTTGCACGCTTCCCGAGCCTTTTTCCAGCATCTCCTGCCTCTCTTTGTTGTTCTTCGCCCTGGGAGGCCTGCCATCAATGCTGATGAACAGTAGCTTCCTGGGCTTAACTATTGTCATCAGCTTGTCGACGTATTTGGCTATCTCCGCCATCAGGTCACTCTTGGTAGCAGGTGCGGGTTTGTTTGATGGATGTGAGCAGGTGTGAATGATGCCATTCATGTCCAGGTACAAGTTGTCGAAGCCCATGTTTACATTCGATGCAGGCAGTACCACCGACGGATACTTCTTGCTGACCCAGTTGAAAAAGCCTCCGATGCCCATTTTGTGTCAGGTATTTGCATGTAATCGCAAAATTTATTAACAGCACAATAAAAACTGTTTTTCAAATTTGTGTAGAACATGGTTCAGGTATTTATAGATGAAATTTCCTTCGTTGGAGTGGCAATCATTGTTAATTGCTCGCCGAGTCTTTTGTTGA